TGTAGTTGTCATTGTTCTTTGGCAGGCCCTGGCTGGGTTCAAACCTGCCCACCCTGGTCTATGTGGTCAGTGCCCTAGCTGCTGAACTACAGGTACCAAGCCTAAGACTCATTTTCTAACATAAATATAAATTTACATAATCAAATTTAAAATATCATCCTTTGTCAAAAAAAGTCCACAGCATACTTCAACTATGGTTTACCTGTGCAGGAGGTGACTGTAGAGGATTGTTATCTAGGGTAATCATCTGTAGGTGCCTGAGGTTTCGAAAACAAACAGGGATTGTCGTAATTTTATTGCATGAGAAGTCTAACCGTATCAAAGGCAATTCTGCCAGCTCTGCATGGAGGTAAAATAGAAATTAACAATTAATAATATTTTAAAACTGGACAATTTTTACAAAAGCTTCTAGTTAAATATGGCAGATTTAACGTAGGTTATTTATCTCCATTCTCTCTTAGAGATTAACTGGTAGCAAAGTGCTATAAAATAAAATCTAATTGCCTGCAGACAGGAGTACTAATAAAATGCAAGCAGTTTGACCCCTCACAGAACCACAGAAAAGTTTTAGAACCTAGAGGCTCTAATATCACAAATGATAAGGCTAACAAAAGGATTAGTTGCCAGTCTATAAAGAACAGTTAGATCTCTAAGTCCTCAACCCCAGCTCACACAGCTGGGAAACTACCCCTCTACAATGACTCCCAAGAGTCAGCAAGTTATTTTCTAGTGAAATTGAATGAAATGGTCTGAACTCAGAGACCCCAGGCATAATGGCAAATCAGGAAGAGTGGCCAGTTAAAAATGGAGGAGTTAAGTGAAAGTCTACACACTTAATGGGAAAACAGCATCTTCCAACCCATGCTATCTTGCCCCCAGCTCTTGAATGCCAGTAGTTAGGAATGCACTTAATAAAGTAGAAGAAATGGAGCATCTTTCTCTGGAGAAACTATACAGACATACAAAAGGTCTATAGGTATTGATATGGAATTTCTTCTCATAAAATACCCAGTTTGGGAGCGGCGCCTGTGGCTCAAAGGAGTAGGGTGCTGGCCCCATCTGCCAGAGGTGGCAGGTTCAAACCCAGCTCTGGCCAAAAACTGCAAAAAAAAAATATACCCAGTTTGCTGTTTAATTGCCATTATGCAGTTTCTGCTGAGTATATTTACAACTTCTAACCAGCTATCTACAGACAGTACATGATCCCCAGATATTTGTTATAAGAAGGCTCCAACATGTAAGACAGAAAGCAAAACCAACCAACCACAAAAAGGAACTGAGAAGACATAAGTAAAATAAAGGAAGCAGAAGAAAATTTTGAAAAGCTAGAACTAATATCTCCATTTCAGAGAGATAAGATACTGAATTACTGAAACATAAAAGGGATTTTTTTTTTTTTGAAGACAGAGTCTCACTCTTTCATACTGGGTAGAATGCTAAACTCTTGGGTTCAAGTCATTTTCTTGCCTTAGCCTCGCAAGCAGCTGAAGGAATGTTTTTTTTTTTTTTTTTTT